AGGTTTCAAGGATCTATTATTGTATTCCTGTGGATTGTCTCTCAACCAATGAAGATTGCACTAATTTACTGTCAGTGGAATGTTAAATTCACAGAAAATTTCTGGGAAATAATTTGGAATTATATTTAAAAAATCACCAAACTGTTCAGATCCCTTTACTCACTCCTGAGAGATACTCCACTGAAATCAAAGACAAGAAGAAAAGTATCATGTATACCAAAATATCCATAGCAGTACTCTTTATCATAGCAAATACCTGAATAAAAAAAGTGACTAACCATTGATTAGTGAATGGTTGAAGAAACTGTACTATATTGACATAATGAAATATTACTAATAAGAAATAGTAGCTATGAGAATTTCAGAGAGATGCTAAAAGTTAAATGAAATGATATAGAGTAAGGAAAGAAGAATGAAGAAAATAACTCCAGTAATAACTTAAAAATGCAAAGAAAAACAATTCCAAAAGGAAACTGAATGCAAATTAAATGAAACAATCAGTCCTGGGCTTGTAGAGCACAATTTTCTCTTCATGATAGGGGATCAAATGGTTTAATATTTGTAAAGTACTTAGGCCAGTGCATGACACATTATAGGCATTTTCTTTGTTCCTTTGATAGAGATATGAGGTTGTGGAAAGTTGTATATGCTATCAGACATGGTATTAATGGATTTTAATTGTTTTTCTTTGTTACAGTGAAATGATTTTGTTAGGGGAGAGGATAGACAGAAGTAGAGCATTCATACCTATCCATCTTGTGTGTCTGTTGTACATGTCCTACTATGATTTTGCCACGGTTGTCCAAGTAAGGGGGAAGGGGATAAGGGAAAGTGGTAAAAGGGAGGGTAGATTCGGGGAGAGGGTAATCAGAAGCAAACACTTTTGAGGAGGGACAGGGTCAAAGGAGAGAACAGAATAAATGAGGGGCAGGATAGGATGGAGGGAAATATAGTTAGTCTTTCACAACATGACTATTATGGAAGTGTTTTGCATGACTACACATGTATAACTTATATTAAAGTGCTTGCCTTCTCAATGAGGGAAGGTGGGGAGGGAAGAACGGAGAGAATTTGGAACTCAAAGTTTTAAAAATGAATGTTAAAAATTGTTTTTACATGTAACTGGGAAATAAGATACACAGGCAACAGAATATAGAAATCTATCTTATCCTCCAGGGAAAGGGGATAAGAGATGTGTGGGGTGATAGAAGAGAAGGCAGATTGGGGGAAGGGTAATCAGAATGCAGGCTGTCTTGTGGTGGGGGAGAGGAGAGACAGGGAGAAAATTTGGAACTCAAAATCTTGTGGAAGTGAATGTCTAACATTAAAAAATAAATTAATTTAAAAGAGAGCTCTGAAAGATATTAGGAATTTAAAATTGTGTGCAGTTTTGGAAACTATATTATCTTAGTTGACAATTAATTAAGAAAATATTAGCTAGACTCCAAAGATTTTGACTTAGGGAATCACACTTTTGGCATGTTACTATAGAAATGTAGTCAAAAGTACAGAGTGCGTATAGTTATATGCATAGCTAAGTATATTCAAGAATCTTATATTCACCTAAATGATAAAATCAGTGCCCTCCTTATTTATTATAGCCAGTATTTGTGTTTCTGGGGGACAATAAATCATATCATGATCCTTTATCCTGTCAAATACTATAGATTCACAATAATTCAAAGTTTTAACTAGAGATGACAGAGGTATTTTAACTACAGGTGAATCAACTTCAATTTGATTCTCTACCTATTAGTTTTTAGTTAGTGTACTTATCAACAATGCAAAAATTATATAATAGTTTGTCAACAGAGTAACTCATTCTCAAAAATAATGTAATATAGGATCATCTTACATTATAGAGATTTCCCTTGAAAATTTACTATCTACTGGGATTATTTTCCTTATCTCAGAATACAGAGTTCTCTTCAGATAAAAGAGTGACATTATCATCATTGTATTTGATAAATACAGTCAGTGGAGAGTTATTAAGTAATTCATTATTGCTCAATTCAGAGTTCCAAATTGTGGCTCAAGCTCTACTGGGGGGGTATAAGGATGTGGGCGTGAGGTTGAGGTAGGTAAGTGTTATGAACAAAACTATTTGTTTTGTTATTTCCTTGTACAATTCCATGTAACTATATTCACTTTTTTCATTGAAAACAAAGTTCAAATCAAACTTAACAGAAGCATGATTATGACAATGAATTTGCTTCAAATGACAGTGAATGTAGTACAATGATTAATATGGTGATATGCAGATGAGTTCAAATTTGTATCAGAAACTGTTGGATCTAGGCAGACCTGATCTACTATGGTCACTATCAGTCAGCGTAGGGTCATGTCACAGGTGAGTTGTCATCATGCACTTGTAGCATATGAACATTATGGCAGCTAGGTGGCACAATGGATAGTACTAAACCTGGAGTCAGGAAGACCCGAATTCAAATCCGACCATAGACATTTACTAGCTGCATGACCCCAGACAATCACTTAACCTCTATCTGCCTCAGTTTCCTCATCTGTAAAATGGAGATAATAGTAGCACCTATCTCCCAGAATTGTTGTGAGAATCAAATGAGACAACAATTGTAAAGTGCTTGGCACAGTGCCTGGCACATAGCAAGTGCTATATTAATGTTAGCTATCATCATCTTTTTATTATATGTTTAATATTTGTAGATTGTTTAAAACTATAATAAAGTCTTAATTTGTTTGAATAAAATATGAGGCAAGAAAATTATTTGTATGGATTGTTGTATGAAAAGTGTGTGGGACTGCATCAACACTTTTTTCTCTGGTAAAATTGAGAGAGGTCACTACATAAATAAGCACAAGAAAAAACAAAAGCTGATCAAAAGGCTATTATGGGGGGGAATTAATGAATTATTACTTGGAGAAATGTGCAAACCAAATAATAATAAATGTAGTACCATTTTAAAGGAATGCAAAACACAAAGAACTATGTTACCAATATCAGAAAAATAAATGGCTGCTGATAGTATGTTCCCCTCTCAAAATCTGGGTTCATCAATAGCCTTCGGCTGCTTTGCACAATTAGTTTGTTTAAAGCAGCAACATAGAAACTACCATTCAACTTCTCCTTTTTGGGTGGGCCTATTTGATCTATACAGACATCTTTATCATGGGAAAGCAATTGCCAAATAGAAATCAATACCTACAGATTTATTCCTAGTTTCTAAAAACCTCAATAGCACATTACCTGACAGATCTTTTTTTTAAACATAAAATCAAACAATAACTATAATTGTGATCCGTATTGGTGTCACAGGATGCTGAATATCCACTGAGAGGATTTATTAGTTATCATCCCTGATTATTTTATTCTAAATTTATTTACATATCAAGTATAGTTGAATAGTACTTGAGCAAAATTAATTCATTTAATACACATGTATTTCCTCAAACTATAACAACTAGCATAACCTTGGAAATTACTGATTTAATCCTTTGTGATTTGCTTCTGATTACCCCCAAACCTCATTGCTGACTAAATTCTGAACAGATATAGTTCTGTCCTCAACAGTTGCTCTGCTGTATCCAAAAAAAATTTCTCAGAGATTATTTTGCTAACTGAGTTTCTTTGAAATGATCAGTTTCACTACTCACTTCTTAAAACTTCCAAAGCAAACCTAAATCTCCCCCCACAAAAAAAAAAGTCCAGATACTAGAACCACTGTGCTGGCAAACCTACTTTTAATGAATTTCTTGAAAAAGCAAAAATACTATAGCATAATCTATGCTGCTAAATGGACTCACTGAGAGTAAAAGTCTATTTTAAGCTAGGTATAGTTTTGGCTGGAGGAGAAACTAGTAGGAAGAGGTTAGCCTGGAAGTTCATATCTCTACTTGCACATAAAAGGACGTATGCCAAGCCTCTCAACACACAAAGTGTATTTTGAAGGGGGGAGGGGGATTTACGTACATGAGGGAAATTCCTCACTGAGGGTTTCCTATAAACCAGTAAATTAACAAGTCCAAACCTGCCCCCCACAATGTGTGTGGGGGTACTTTTTAGAATATTATGTCATTCCATAAACATTTTGAACTTTGTTCCCAAACAGTTATAAGAAAAATGGTATCTAGTACTTTAACAATTTAGTGACACATTATGTATCATTACATATGTTACAATGAATATTATAATATTCCTCAAATCTAAATCCTTCCCCAAGCATAGTTATCTCGAGATTCAAAGGCCAGTCCCTGCAAGAATGGATTAGTAAGACATTCACTGAATGGGAACACCTACTCTGTGCTGATCTTGACTGTCATTTTTGTGGTTGGTAGTAAATGAATAAAGTATGTGGGGGGGGGGGTAAAGTCTTTCATGACTGATGGTGATAGCTCCTTCAGAATAATGTATTTGCTTATCTGATACCTAAAAATGGTTGTTGATTCATGGAAATATTGAAACCAAGTTTCCAGGTCAAGTCTTCACATTTGAATTTTGTTGGTAGAACAAGTAAACATTACAGAAATGTTGAAATCAGGAAAAAGGGGGAAAAAACATGTATAAGAATAGCAAAACCTTTGGGGAAAATATTTTCTTGTCTCTACTATGGTTTTTTAAAATGTGTTTACAAAAGTGCACCTGATTGTACTAAATATCTCAGGGAAAACTTTTTTGGAAACATTTGAACTTCCCAACTATCTCCAAGTCTTAAAAAGGGGAAAAATGGAAATAAGCATTTTAGAAACTGTTACCAATGAAATAAACATTTATAGCTCCAATAAATATAGCACTTATTAGACCAAGGTAAAAAAAAAAGTTATGTGAGGCAAGCACTTTATCTTGTTACTGTAGATGTTCTGGTAAGGAGATAGCAATTCACACAGCATTATAGTATTGTATTTTGAATTTAGGTAAATATGAGTTCAAACTAATAGATAGCATACAGTTTGATTTCTGTTCTTCTAAGTTACATCAAAACAAGAATAATAAAACCTTTTTGTTTTCTGCTATAATGTTTTCTTACCCAGCGTTGAGAATAAGTTTCCTTTACAGCTTCTGAACTCTTGTCAACAGGATCAAACAGGAGTTGGGTCATCAGCAAGAGTATGCTAGAAAAATAAAATTAAAGCTGAATTATTTTTTCTTTTGAGAATATTTAGGATGTCACTTTGAGTGAGAGAACTACTGAGGCTTTAAAAAATAATAATGGCATTCTTTGCAAAAGTTGTATTATTAAATGGCATCAGAATTCACTTAAAAAGCTAATTTCTCAGAAAATATATCATTTGACCCAATATGGCAGCTATAGAGATGTCAACCTGTAGTTTCAGAGAAGGTTTTGGTTGCATCTGTAGAAAAATAAAATTCCTTACTTGGGAGTTCCCTATATCAATAAAATCATAGATTCAATCCTAAACCGTATTCTGTCCTTTTTTTTTCTTTTTAAGATATCTTACCCCGAGCATGTTTATTCACATACAGGATACAACAAGGAGAGAGAAATTCAATACGTAAGAGCACAAATAAGCAAAAATGAAAAAGAAAGAGGAATGGGACCTTAGGCACAAGTAAAAGTAATAGACCTGGCAGGAAAAAAGGCATTTCTGCCACTGAAAAAGAGAAGGCATAAAGAATGACCAAAGATATAGATATAGAAATGTGTGTGTGTATGTGTATGTGTGTGTCAGGAAGTCGAGGTTCTTGATTATGTAATAGCCCAAACCTTCCCCAAAAATACAAGGTGAAGTCATCTTCAGAGAACCCTAGCATCACATATTAAAGTTGGAAAAGCAACTCCAAGGTCATATCCTTCCAATCCTTTCTTAAATAGGAACCCTATTCTCTACAACATCTTTGACAACTGGCCACCCAACTTCTGCTTTAAAAGATTTTTCAGCCTGAAAGAACTCATTCCTTTCCTCAGAGAAGTTGTGGTGAGTTTGATAGTCTGAAGAGAGATGGGTAAAGTTAAGAAATAATCAATTCAGAAGATGAGATAAGTTCAAAAACGACGTTAGTGAATCTTGGAGGCTAAAGTATTGTTTAAGTTCTGCCTCATCCTATTGGAATGTTTGAAAAAATAGCAGCACTTATAAAACAATTTAAGGTTTACAAAGGGCTTTACAAATATATCATTTTATCTGTGTTGTTGTGCAAATGAACTGACATGATTTTTGTAAATATTATGGAAAGAGGTAGCTGCTATGAACTAAGGCAGACAAGTTAAATGACTTGCCC